TATTGGTCGATTTTAAGTGCAGCGGTCACGTGACTTTTTTAAAATCAAAAAAGTATCTGTGTCAAGATATGATTGGCTTTGACTTTCGGTAAGACTTTCGACTTTCGGTAAGGGTTTCGACTTTCGGTAGGACTTTCGACTTTCGGTAGGACTTTTGACTTTCGGTAAGGGTTTCGACTTTCGGTAAGACTTTCGATTTTCGGTAGGACTTTCGACTTTCGGTAAGACTTTCGACTTTCGGTAAGACTTTCGGCATGACTTTCGGCACGCCAAAATACTTTCGGAGCCATCCTAGGTGTTCTATTATAGGTTAAATATGTTCTTAAAATGTTTCAGAAATGGTTTTAATTATTATCGCGGATGATGCTGAAATTTGGACCTATTTTGATATGGATTTTAAAAAATTTTAGGTGTATATTTTCTAACTTTTTTTTGGTTGAGTTAGTGAATTGTTAATTAATGAGTATATGAGTGCTGTAGAGTGAAAACCTGGAAGTGAATCTTTAAGTTTATCACTAGCGGACTTTGTCTTTATTATATATTATAAGACTAAGTTCGCTACAGTGATAAACATAAAGTTTCACTTCCAGGTTTTCACTCTACAGCACTCATATGTGGATTTTACAATGCTTATATTTTTCAAATCACGACCCCATATTTCAGCATCAACGTGACAATTACTTAAGAATATTGGCGAAAATCTCCAGTTGAAACACAGTGATTATTAAAAATTAGGTGATTAGTTTACAAATCGTACCAAAAATTTATAATTTAGGTCACAATTAGGTACATATACACAAAAATTTACAAGTATCGGGTTACAATCACGTTGTGGGACCCGAATGGACCCTGGCCGTTAGGGGGTCCATTACTAAATTAGGAAAAGGTCGATCGCATTCGTCGCATGCGACCGATACGTCGATCAGTCGCATCTGACGGATATGACGGATAGCAGCGATCGGTCAGAAGGGTCTTTTTAGGTGATATCAGTAGGATACGATCCATCAGTCGCATTAGAGATATCAGTCATATCCATCACATAATGTAAATAAAATTCTACAATTATAAATAAAGGCCCTTCATGAAGAACAACTTCCTCTTTGCAACTGATACATAGTACAGATTTTTCATAATTGCTTATAATCAATTACTTGTATAAATAATAAAACAGATATCTTTATTAACAGTAACTCGTAATTACATAAAGTGTGCTAGTACATTTATCCTATAAAGCAGAACCCAAAACCCTCCTTCACCAGTAGAACCTGACTATTACCAAGTTAACTACTCGCCAGATCTGACACATCTCTTATGACCCAACATAAACCTTCTTAAGTGGTTACATGAGAAATCTGAGTGTGAGTGACTGACTCATGTTTTACATTTACAACATACAAATTTATGAATAAAATTTATTATTGGGTATTTCCAATCTAAAAATCACTTTTATTCTCAATAATCATGCCATATCACATAAATAATAGACACAAATTTTAATTTTTTTTTTTTTTTTAAATATTAATGGTGAGGTCATGTCTTTAACTTTATTGAAATTCAATTGAAGTTTTTACAAA